CCTGACCTCTGAGGTGCGTGAGGCCGAGGGCACTGCAGCCTGTGCGGCTGCGCCGTCACGAGGAACGGTGAGCGCCAGGCCTTGGACGGGGTTTCCACGGGGGCTGCGGCCGGCCGAGTTCGTCCATCTTGTTTGATCTCGCGTTTCATTTAAAGGCCCAAATCGATCAGCTGAATTACACTACCAGTTTCTTGGTAACGTACCTTAGAGCCTATTTCAGTGAAATCCCACATCTCATGCCTTTGTTGTCTTAGAAATGTAATGATACATAAATATCTTTCACGTTTTATGGCTACATCATTACTGAATTTTTAAAAAAATATGATTTGATTTTAACACAGTGAATCAAATTAGTGATTTGGGTGTTGGCTCAGCTCCTGGATGTTCTTTTCAGAATCTTTGATGGAATTGAGTATTTTAGTTTAAAACGTTTCAGGATTATAATCACTTGATCTTAGCCAAAAGGCCGAGAAGCGATTCAGGATTATAATCAATTGGCTATTAGTTACAATGTCTACTTCATTTAGAAATAGCATTAAAGGAAAGGATGAAGTTTTATATTTATCAACTTGTAATGACCATTCGGTGGTGATTTTTTTGCATCTCTTATGCATTGCTTTTGGTCTTGTATTATTGTTGTCTTACAAGTGTCTTGTCTCCCTCTGAATATTGTTGCTGTGTCTCTTGCACTTGTAAATGCACTGAGGGACAGTTAAAAATCAGTTGGTAATTATTTTGTCAAAATAATTTGAGAGTAGGAATCCTGTGACATTGTTGCGTCACGTGAAGCCGGCTCTGCCTTGCGTTGTTGGGCATGTACAGTGGGTCTGCAGTAAATGCAGGGGGAGCAGAGCTTATTTCTGCCTGTGTATTTAGAGAAATATAAACTACGATTCTTCTCCTTGGAGAAAGAGAAAAGTTAATGACTGAAATTTCTTTATGGTCTCTATGACAGTTTTATCACATATGTCTCCAAAAATAATTTTCTAAGAACAAATCTGTCTGTGTGCTAACAGATTGTGAAAACTTATCAGTTTCTTTTCTTCTTTTAACCAAAAGTCAAAAGAAGCCAGCCTTTCAATATTTGGACGTTTTTCTCTGAGATAGGGCTGTACTAGGCAAACACATTGGCATTAACATTTCTAAAGCAGGCTCAAAATAAATTATAACTTTAAAAAAGAACTCCCTCTGGTCCTCATGTTAATTGATATTTTAATTAAAGGTTCTGTGTGTCCCTAGTGACAGGTGATTGCCTTGTGAAGATAAAGGAATACTATCTTTGGCTTGTAAAAAGGCAAAAGGCTATGCCGAAAAGCTTGTGCCCACATAAGCTTGCTGTCTCTGTTTTGTCAGACAGTGTGATGAGCATCAGGTGAACCAGAGTATTAGTTGAAGAACAGAATTTTCTTTAGTTTGTTACATATCCAAATGTAGCTTCTGGGTGGATGTCCTGGCTAGGGATTTCACTTAGTGTGTTCTAGAATGCTCTACCACAGACTGTTTTTCAGAGATAAAGGAGTCTGACAGTAAAAATCACTGTATGCAATGGCCTTTGATTAGAGATTTTATCTGTTGAGTCTACTATAAGGTTGTATGATCAAGGAAGAACATGCTTGGCTTTATAGAGTGTAAAATATTACTAGTTATCATCTTAGTTTATTATTATCTGGACAACAAAGCATGGTGTGTGGCCCCAGTCACTGTGTTAGCAAACTGGGAACTCCAGGAGGTACATCTGTAGGAAGCTAAGACCTGGGATGGGGGCTTGCTGCTGCTTAAGGATCCCGTTTGCCAAACCTTATCAAATCAATTACAAATGACACCTTCAGAAAGCATGGAGTGGCCAGTGCTCTGTTTCCTACCACTTTCTGTGTCCAACTGAAAATTTATTTTATTGTAGAATGGGTAGAACTTTGACTCCTGCAAATGGGAATCAAACAGCATTTGAATGATGAAGACAAACCTAAACTCTAGACCACAAAGATAAAATACTTCCAGGAAGCACTGTGGCCAGACTGCTGTGTGCACATGACAGATGTGGGTGCCAGGCATGGGACTGTCTTTCTAAGGCTATGTTCCAGTTACTGGGGCAGAGAAAGGACCAGAGGGTTCAGGTGAATGCAGGTCCTCACAGGGGTTCTGTTCCACCCAGCCTGGCTGCTGCCTGGCACCCTGGCTGCCAAGTGACCAGTGGTGTGCACCATGAGGGATTTGGAAATGCCTGCTGCTCTCAGGCTGGACAGACTACATTGGTGGTTTGTTCTGGTGGCCAGTGCAGTGCCAGCAGTGTGTAAAGCTGTTGTTTCTGTCACATACTCAGGACCCACACAGTGAACCTCGGGTGCAATGAGCTCCTGCCTAGCTCCTCCTGCCACTTGTGTGCAACAGGGCACTGTGGTGCCCTGCTGGAATGTTCCCTGGCTTTCCTGATCCCCCTTTCCACAGTTTTCTTCCTTTTTTGAGCCTGTTCCCATTCCCTCGAGCTCAAAATCTGTCCCAGCCCCTTTCTGTTTTCTCTGAGGCTGGCTGTACTCAGACCTGGGTGCCCTGTGTGTCTCTGTGTGCTATATTCTTTCTTTCCTTTTGCTTTTTGCTGAAATATTTACAAGTTTATAAGGTCCCTTTATACTTTGGTGTGTGTTTCAAAAAACAAGATTTTCCTTACTATCATACTTACTGAACCAGAAAATGAACATTGGTAGTACTGCTCTCTAGCCCATAAGCTTCATTTGAAATATGCTGGTTGCCTCATTTCCAGCCTTTAAAGCAGAGGACAGACCCAGTTGTTGTGGTCTAGGAAATCAATCCAGAAGAATATGTTGTATTTTGATGTCACATCTTTTAGTCTCTTCTAATTTAGAGCAATTCTTCAGTATTTCTTTGTTTTTTATGACCTTGACAATTTTGAAGTGCACAGGCCAGTTATTTTGGGTTTGTCTGATGTTTCCTAATGATTAGATTCAGATTAAATATTTTTGACAAGAATAGCATGGAAAGGATCTTATGTCTTTTTTAATGGCTCATGGGAGGCGTATGCGCTCTTCTGGTGCCATTATTTGTGCTCAGCTAATGTGGTGTCTATCATATTTCTGCATTGTGAAACTGCTGTTTTTTCCTTTGTGATTAATAAATGTCTTGTGGAGAGACAGTTTGAGACTAGGAAAATAAACATTAGTTATGGCTAATGAAGGTCACATTTGTCTTTTTATTGTCACAGGAGAGAAGGAAAGATAAGAAAAGATAGAAGTATGGAGTTGAGCCATATGTTGTTGGGTTGGACCTGAAGCTCATTGTGAACTCGTGTTACCTGTCTCTCTTTCCACCTTCTAGCTCTATTCTCTGGGAGGATAAAGAAGCAATGATAATTTGGCAGCAGCAAGCATAACTAGTACCATCATCTTGCCCTTTCAGTACCATTCTGCAATGAGATTCAATCAGGCCTTCCTTGCCAGAGTGGGAAAAGCACAAGCTAAGCATGGAACAGTTTGTTTTTTACCAGAAAGGAGGGAAGCAAGCAAAGACTTAAGAGCACATGAGTGAAATCGGCCAGCTCCAGGGCCCCGCTCAGCCAGATGAAGGCCACTGGAGCATTAGAATGTGTGCACTGAGTGTAATGATGTGCAGTGAGCAAGTACCATAACAAAAAGGAAATATCTCAGCTAGAGCAAGAACCTCATGGTCCATACTGATACAAATAAATACACAAATTAGTATGTAAAAAGGAAAGCAATTCCTTATAATAGAATTCCAACAAGTAAATATGGAGGGAATGGCTGAGTGGAGGTCCTTTTGACTTCTATATCAGTGGTGTGGGGACAGATTGGTGGATTTCCTGCTTCTAAGCATGTTAGTTTTGCCTTTCTGGCCTCCTCCCCCTCATAGTTCACTAGATATACCTTTCCTTGCCCTCTAATGTAAGTAATTTTCAAACATGCTATTGGTAAAATTTGGACAGGTAAGAGGGAGCTGTCAGTCTGAGAAGCAAATAAAAGGGAATGTGTCAGAGACAACCCAGCTTTTGGTGTTGCTTCTGTGTCATAGAATAGGTTGGTACGCACCTTCTTCTGTCTTCAAGACAAATACTGAGACTTGAGGGGTTTGGGTTTAGTGTATTTTTGTTTGTTTGCTTGGATGTCCTTTTATCCTTTGTTCTAAATTCAGATGAGATTTGGCATGAACCAGTGTTAACACCTGAAATTCTGATACTACGTTGTATTGCAAACAAGTCAGACGAAGCCTGCTAAACACAGAGACATTTACTAAACACATTAGCAAGGGAACAAAAATATGATTTTTACAGCTTATTCTTTGACAAGACAGATAAGGCATCACCCCACAGGCAGTGCTCTTTGCCTTGTTTTGACCACCAGTCAGTGGTATGTCTTCTTTACTGGTTGGGTAGAAACCAAAATCAGAATGTCTCTGAGGGAACACTTTTCTGAGTCCACATATTTCATTCACACTGGAATGTAGAGTACCTCTAAAACATTTTCATTTTTCTACAAATTCTTCACCATTTTCAGTGTTACATGTCATGGAAGCTCATTTCTAGATTCTTCATATCAGTAAGCCACGAGTTTCACCAATTCACGTCCATTGCTAACATTCTTTGTAAGATTTTCAGTTTTAGGTGTTAATAAAAATATGCACAGTGAGTACTCAAGAGTATACTCTGCAGTCTTCTTGCCTTTCTGATAAATTCCTGGCTGAGTGTTCAGGGAAACCTGCTGTTACAGAGTGCAGATTTAACATAGTGCTCCTGCCCAAATTTTTTGTTGTTGTTGTTGTTTGTACTGGGAATTGAACTCCGGGCCTTGTGCTTGCCAGGCAGGTGCTGTACCACTGAACTACATCCCAGGCTCCTGTCTCTCATTTTAAACTGAAAAGTAAATTACGC